GTACAATAATCTGGCCTGACACTGAAGGAGCCCTAGGGTGACTATATTTCCCAAAGGGAAAGCAGGACACCACGTGGGACTAACCTGAACCTTCCTCCCACCCCTGCGCAAGGTTGGTCTAAGCCACTCGCCCAAGCCCACCACCACCACCTACCATGCAGGGCTGGAGTCGCTACTCACCCAAGCCCTGCCTCCCCCCTGCACGGGGCTGGCATCGCTGCTCCCCCCCCCCCCTCCATGTTCCGCCACACCCCACTTTTTGACAAAAATGGGCATTTGTCCCGTTTGCTCTTGCCAACTGATCAAGATGGCAAGAACAAATGGGACAAGTGCCCACTGTGGCCAAAAAAGTCAGGACGGCCGGGACAGGGCTTAAAAAAGAGACCTTCCCAGCCAAAACAGGACGGATGGTCATATTAAGCCCAGACAGGATGAGCGCAGTTAGCTGGCAGCCAACACAGCTGCAGCGGTAATGCAGTGCAGCCAGCAGGGATGGGGTGACCGCAGGCAAGGGAAGCCTGTGTGTGAAGGAGGAACCAAAGACAATGGCATCACAACCAGTTCAGCCAATCAGGCTGAGATATCCAGCTCCCAAGAGGAAGCTCTGACCAGCATGTGGACTAAAAGGATAGGCCCCTGAACATGATGTGGAGACCAGGACCTAGCCTCTGTATACTTGTGCCAAATGCAAGTGTAATCCACTTATCAGTGTGTGTTACAAGTCCCCCTCTGTGCCCAGTCTGCAGAGGATATGAATCTGCTACAGCACCACTTTGAGAGCCCTGGCTGACCTGCTGAAGCTGTAGTAACTCATGCTTTTAGGTCTGAAGGTCCACAGGCCAATTCCCAGTGTGTTTGCCAAGCTGGCAGTACCATATAACCATTATCTGCTACCCCAAAGAGAAGAAGGTGCTCCTAATCTGGGGCTAAAAGAGACTGAGGCTGGAAGAGCAATTTAGTTGCTGGCGAAGCTCCTTTGTTACCTGTCTGGGATTTTGTGCTTAGTATATAGTGTATAATTGCTGTGGTTAATTAACCACATGTGAGTCTTGTTAATTGTTGCTTTTAATTACCCTCGGATTCTGTCCATGCACTAAGTGGCTGATAAAGATATTGGAATATTTCTGTGATTGCAGTTATTGCTAGGTAAATTCCTAGCTGCTGAAAGGTTTCTCTATGCCAAGACAAAGGAGTAGGAATTTAGGAATAGTAGGAACCAGTTGCAAGTTTGATAAATACTATAACAAAGACCAAAGCAAAAACAAATACAATTTACTTGTGTCTCTGTTCATCTTACAGTGCTTTATGTTCACACGATCCATCCTGTATCCACATACTCCTTGCACACATTCAGTGCTCTTGATTTATGTGCACCTGTCTCCTCATACGTGAATTGGCTTTAGTTCAGACCAGACATCTGCAATGATTAATCTCGTACATTGCACATATAGTAGTTTGGGTTTGTTAAAAAATGCTCATTTATTATATTTTGAAAACTTATTTAACTTTTCTCACCAAACTGAGGGAAGCACCATATTTTATAACATATCTGTACACAGATACACAGATTTAAGAAGATTTGGGAGCTGAGTTACAGCTCCCAAATCTTCTTAAATTGATCCAGACCACCTCTAAGATAGCAGGTTACACACTGCAAATGGAATGCATAACTTGACTGTGAACTGCTGCATATTTTGTACTTCATATTTACATTTTTCCAAATGGGTGGGGGGGGGGTGGCGGGAGCCATTGTCTTCCAGATAAAGACACTTTCTGCTTTTGCTGGATGAGATAAATCTGTATATCCTTGGACTCTCTGCTGAGATTGGCAACAAGTTTACACCAGGCCACCAATTCATGTCACACAGGTTCCATCAGCTGGCAATGACATCGTCAGATCAGTACCATACTGCTGGAATTTTAGTCACTAGGTGACACAGAGTTCCCTGGAGGCCATCTTGATTTGTAGAGATTCAGTCCTGTAACTACTATTTTAGCAAATGGCAATTCAGATAATTAGATCCCTAAGTGAGATTTGGAGCTGGAGTGCTGGCAGTTATCCAAGCATTAAGAACTCATGGCACTATGGCCAAAGAGTCTAGGGGCTAAATTCACTCTAGTCACTCACTTAAGTGAGTGCATAGGCCTTGGGTGAGTGTGAACCCTCTGCACAGGGGAAAATTTCATCCTGCTAATGAAAGTGGGTTCAACTAAAGTCTATGGAGCTGTCCTTGCATACTCCAGTAGTGAATTTGGCCATAAAAACTCTCGTTATAGATCAGCCTCAGAACCAAATTCCCCAAACTTTGGTAAGGTGTGGATCCAGATTTGAACATTATAGCTCAGCTCTAGGTCCCTGACCTCAGAATCTGAAAAAATTTGGACCCTCCTCTGAACTTTCTGGCCTGCACCCACCTCCAATTAGCTGCATGAAAATAGTATATAAGAACTATCTTCTGAATCCCACAGTGTGTTTCAAAACATAAAAAGCACATAAAGTTCTATTTGCCACTTGCATGTAGTTCCCTTTCTTATGACTAAACAATCCATCCAACTCACACCTAAAAAGTTTTATTGGGCTCAGCCTATAGCATGTGCAAACATTACAGAAACCCAGTGATCACTGACCCCTTCCCCACTCCTGCCAACATTTTGGTTTGGATTAAAACAACAAAAAAGGCAATGTTAGTTTCTTGGACCACCACAATATGTTTTAAGAAGGCTTTATGCCCATGGGGCTCAGTATTAGATTCCAGCAGGTTACTTCATTAAACGAGCATATCAAATTTGATTGGGAATTCTCATCAGCTTTCTGTTCCGTTTAATTTTATTTTTATACAGATGAAGAAATTACTGTTACACCCATACCCACTGACAAGCCAACTACATTACTTCACATCTACTTTATAACCACATATAATTACATAACCTCTTGGTTTATTTTCTCCCAGAACTCATGGCTCCTCATAGAATCTATTCTGTCTGATCTAAGAGGCAGATTTTGGCCTAAAAACTGGTTTTCAAGACAGTTACATGGTTTGGAGTTTTATTCCTATATTGAATATTCTATGTTTATTAACCACATTTTGATTCAAGCACTGTAGGACGAGTGTCTCTGATCAAGTCTGGGTAAGATGTATTAGTAAAGGGAAAAGACAAGCCCAACACACAGAAATATTCTGCACAAATAGCCTACCTTTAATTATGCATAGCTGTTTGATTACATCTCTTTATGATGGGGCAGTTCTCATTTTTCAACCCCACATCATAAAATCTTTTCTCAGGACATTCTGTTCTATTTTGTTTCTTTCTAATTATACCCACCATAATTATTTTTCTAACTAAAAATCCCCATCAACCCTCCCCCATGAAACATTCTTCACTTGTAGAAATAGAGAAACCAGGACTTCAAAGTGTTTTGACAAACAGGTGCTCTGTAAGAATGTGTAACGATTACTTTTGGTAAGAATGTGATTGGAAAGTCCTATCATTGGCACTTTTACATCAAAAGCAGCATCTTTCAGCAGAACTTCATATAAATGGAAATTAAAGGCCTAATAATTTTACATTACTGCAGTTTTATGCCAGTGTAACACCACTGAAATTAATGAAGATTAACCAGTGTAAAACTAGACTAACCCTGGTGAACTGGGCCCTAAGATTATTTTAATGTTCATTCCAAACCTAATTGTTTAAGAAGATATTGACAGTCCTCGGGGTCCTTTTGTTGTTATTAGCAAAATATGCTAAATAACCAGGTACAAACAGATGGGTCTTTTCTTCAGCACCAAGGCATGCATAGTATTTCTTGGATAGCCTCTTAACTCCCACTGAAATCAACAGGAATTGCACTTGCTTTGCACTCCTTGCAATCAGCTTCTATGTTTGAAAACACTTTTTAATATACAGTATTAATAAATTCATCTTAAAACATTGTGGTCTAGCCCTGTGACCATCCCTCATTTGAGTTACGTTTACTCATGTGACTAAGGCTACTGATGGCCCAGGGAGTAAAAGTTGTGGTATTGGGCCCCTTGATTCTTAATTGCTCAGATGATGTGACTGTAAATTGCAGAATGGGGTGGGAAAGACTCTTCTCATAACAAACTGTGGAATCAAATTACTTGTCGAGAGAAATAGAACCATGTAACTATTTCTCTGCTATGAACAAACCACTATAAACGCAGTGGTTTGCAAGTAGAGTATAACACACACACTTAGCCAACACATGACAGAACAAAGAGCAGGCAGGATTGTGACCTCTTATGAGACTGTGTGGGAAAACTGCACGAGACAAGAGCTCACAGTGACTATGTAGCTCATCAATGTCAATACTGTACAATTTCAATGAGTTCTATCTCGAGGTCTGAGCTGGGCAAGAGCCTTTGTTATGTGGATCAAGAACTGGACTCAGATCACCCACTCACTTCACCTAGCACAACTGAACAGACAGAAGTCAAAATTACTTTGTCACCACCAGGTTGACCTGGTCTGGATTCAAACCCCAGATCTAGCAGCGAAAGCCCGCCACGCAATTGGTAAGAGACTGAAGGCAGTCTCTGTAGAGAGGTTCTAGACTGATTATGCGTGGTGCAGATCAGGGTCTGGCACCAGCGATGAGGAGGTGTAACAGAGGTTTACAATACCACTGCCTATGTTGTAACTATGAATACAGAAGACTTTACTCTCCATGACTGTCAATCCAGAACACCTTTTGCTGGCACTATATTCACCTGGAACAATTTTCTGTCAATCAATATGCCTGTATTTATCCTGCAATGAAAGGGAAAAAAGCACTGCATGGATTATGTAATCTTTGCACTAAAACAGAGCAAAGAAGTGATCCATCCATACAGAGAACAGTTTTTGTTAGATTCAGGCCCCAGAATACAATCTGAAAAGCAAGTATGCAAAAATTACTTCCCACATTAGGCTGAGACATACAGTACTGAACTGAGGGATTTCTTATGTCAGAAGAAGACTGCCATACGAATGCGACATAAGCATATAATTGAAATAATTTATTTACCACTAGAGCACCACAAAAACAGACATACACTGTGTTAAAATACAAGGTAATGGGTCATCAAAATACAACACAGCTGTTCTTATGTTCCTTCTTTATTTTTTTTTAAACCATGCTGTCCATACAACTGTATTGCTGCTAAACACACAAAAAATGCTGTCCTAACCCAACCAGCCAAGTGCTGAGATGTGTTCCTCAGCCCCACCCCTTCCCTTTGAGTCTGATCCTGTGAGGTCCTGAGTATCTCCTGCCCAGTGCTGAGTATCCTTAATTCCTCACTATCTTCACTGCAAGCTGAGAAGATCAGCACCTCACAGAGGGGCCCCATAGTATGCGCCTCTGCGCCTCTTTATTTCCACTTAAACCTCTTTCTAAGGCTTTACGCTGAACTTAAATGGTGCCAGGGCCTCCCTCTCCACAGGGGTGAGTTTCACCCAAAGGAGCTCTGTCTGCCCTTTGTAGGATCAGGCCCAATATCCTTATTCACTAACGGGAACTATATGTCTAAAAATAAACCAAAAAAGAAAAGATTTAGGAGCTGTAAAATAGAACATTTCAAATACTATCAGTGCATTTCTGAGGAAAAGATACAAAACAAAACTTCATCCAATTTGGGGGAAATGACCTAATGCAATTATAAGGCATTATTCTCAGATTTTTTAAAACATACCCATCTCCCTGGCCCAAACTTTTGCCTGCATCCAGCACATAGTGAGTGTAGTTGTACACTAATAGCATCTCAGATCCCGCTATTTCAAATCATCAAGCTTCAATACCAGGTTTTTGCCACATTTCAATTGTGAATGGCAAGTTGGGTTTTTTTAAAATTGTCCAACCCTTGTCCCCTCCTCCCCACCCATAGAATTCAGATATTGAAGCTAATAAAACAGATGAGGGCTAAATGCTGCAAACGCCAGCAGTCACGGTGCTTTCTACCTCAAAGAGTTTTGTTTATTTCCACGGGTCTCTTCGGGATAGTAAACATGGCTCCTGCAAGTGTTTGTAGGATTGGACCCTTCATTTGTTAATTTCAATTTGCTAAATAAATAATAAATAATAATAAGAGAAGAACCACACACACATACAAACCCTCATATACCTCCTCTGCACTGAGACAATAGGCAGGTCAGATTATTCACAGGGCTACATTTTGATCTCGGCAATGAGCGCAGGCTCTCAGTGAAGTTAATGGGAACTGTCTGTGCAAATCAAAGGAGCAGAATCCAGACCTTGAGCCTGATTCTCCACTATATTACTTCAGTTTTACAGCAGTGTTGCTCGGCTAAAGTCAATGGAGTTACACTATCCTAAATTCAAGTTAATACAGTGGAGGATCAGGCCCCTAATGTTTTGTTTTAAAGCTTCAGGGGTAAAATCTCAACCCCATTTCAGTCAATGGCAAAACTCCCATTAACTTAAATGGAGCCAGGATCTCACCCTAGGTCCTGTTCCTGTATTGTATTTGAGGGAATGTGCCCTTTACATCCAGTTGTCATATTTCCTTGCACAGTCTTCAAGCTTTGCCATTCAGAACAATTTATAATGTAAAATCAATTGAACTGTTCCTTTTCATGTTTTTACACCTCTTGGTTCTAGGTTAGGGATCTGTTGCTATTCATTTTTTTTTAAACAACGTGTACGATGTAGATCTTTTTTTACTCTCTCTAGAGTACTCTGCAGATTGTTAGGGCCCAAAGGAGTTTCCTAGGAGACTTATGTTCCTTTGTTCCTTTTTTTTAGAAAGAGGAAAAAGAAAAGGTGTTATCTGAAGAAAAAAAAAAGATTAAACAAAGACACAGAGCCCGATCCTCCAAATCCTTCCACATGTAAACACTCTCACTAGGCCTCATCTGCTGCCACAGAAGTCAGTGGCAAAACTTCTGCTGACCTCTGTGGGAGAAGGATCACTCCCATAAACTAACTGCAGGTGAAAAATCATTGCTGTGACAAAGGCCAACACAAGGCCTCTAAACTGATTAAGTCCCACTCAAGCCTTGTTTTTAGGGCTTCAGTGATGCATGTGCTTTGTCTTGGCCCTCTGCACAGTAGTGAATTTCACTGTATGTAAGGGTTTGTAGGACTGGGCCCTAGCCTCATATCACTTAGGCTGTAAAATCTTTTCTTGAAAATCTTGCTCTTTTATCCATCCGTTTGACTGTCTTTAGCTGAGAAAATGAAACAAAACTGGGTTTAAAACGCTAAGTCGCGTTGCGATTCACTGCTACAAACGTGGATGAACTAGGATGTGGGGGAGGGGAGGAGGAGACAATTTTAATCCATCCTTTTTGTAAAACAAAAAACAAATGGAGTCAGGTAGCTTATGTCATAATGATGAACAATATACAAAGCATATGTATAGCAAATTATTATAAAACATGTATTTGTAGTGCAAGTCAAAATATAGGGACTCTACTCATACTGGCCAGCTGGAGGGAAACACATGACTGAGTGATCAAAAAGAGCCCCAAATTCAAATTCAAACTCATGAGAGTTGACAGTATTACAAAATACAAAAATATGGTGAAAATTTACACATTACACATAAAGTACTTAATTTTTTTAATAGTTTACAATAGAGATCTACAGATATGTTTCCAATTAAGCTGGCTTTTACTACCCACCTATTGTAATACTATAGGTATGGTTACATATACCAAAAGAACAAAACATCCCATAGCATAGCTATACAGCAACATATTAAGGTCTGAAGATTAGACCAGTACATGTTAAATATTTCACTGGTTTACTAAACTGACATTTTAATCATTTACAGTAAAAAAAAAATCTTATAGACTTGTCTTTGAGACTGAAACAGAGCGTCCTTTATTAGTAAGTTTTTCAGTATTTAAAACAAGGGTTTGAGACTTTAAAAGAAGCCTCCCTAGGCTGCTGGCATGTAAAATAAGGCATTTTTAAGGCAGATTTTCTCAATAATGTAATAACTGACTTCTGTTTTAATTGAACTAAACTAACCATTATTTTCAGGATTGTTTGAGCTTGAGTTCCCCTAAGCATTCAACATATTTCTGGCAGTTTATTTGGTCTCCACTTTGTCCACATTTGTTTCTTTTTTTCCAATGGCGAAGAAATGTTCATGTGATAGTTTTTACATACAAATAAATAATGCACTGTTAACACTAAAACTAAAAAGAATGGGTAGGATGTCTATCGCATAACAATACAGAGAGATCAAGTAAGGCATGGGACAGATACAGCAACTCCACTTAATGGGATTTTCCTGTTTTTTCCTTTCACATAGTAACACTAACACATTCTTCCAGTGTTTATTTTTAAAAGGTGTGGTTCTTTTTGTTTTTGTTGTTGTTTTTGGTTTTTGTTTGCTTCTTGTCTATCTCACTAACTGAGTAGGTGAAGTGTAGGATAAAGGCCTTCAATGTTTTGTTTCAGATGCCAGTTTTAAAAAAAACAAAACACACAAACTTTCAAACAGTTCGGACTAGTACCGCTTTTCTTCTTCTTTTTAGGTTTTTTTTTTATTATTTTTGTATTTTTTAACACTGATGAACTTAGATTTTCTTTTTTCTTTCTTAATCTCTTTTTCTTTCTTCCTTGGTTATTTTTACATATTTGTTTATTGCTGTTTCAGGGATATCTTTAGCTGCATTTGCAAGATTTTACGATCATGTTGGAAAGTTGTTCAATTTTGGGTGTTTTGCCAATGTAGTACAGGATGGTGAGGGGTTCTAAATCCTGGGACACGCAGCACGGAGAGGCAGATGCTTCTGGATTTATGGTGTTATACAAACTGAGTACCTTGAAGAAGAAAGAAAAAAACTGGGATGAAAACATTTATCACTGTGTCCACAAATCAATGCCTATCTCCATCTCTAGCATCACTTGCTCCTATAGACTTTGAGCCAAAGTCCAGTGAAGTCAGTGGAAAGGCTCCCATTGACTTCTATACTCTTTGGATTAGGCCTATAGCCCTGGTCACACTTTACACTTTAACAATACATCTCATCCCATTTGTCTTCCTTGCCAAATACAACTTCATGCCTTCTACATCACTCACCCTGTGCCTATCATCAACAGATGCCAGTATACAGCAAGACAGCCTTTCCTGCTATAACAGACTTCTAAAAACCTGTTCCATAGCATTTTCCATCTAGAAATATCATTCCAAACTCTGTTCAGTTTTGTACTGTGTTGTGCCAGCTTGTAAACCGTCAGGGGTATGTATGGCTTCTGGCACAGATAATTCACTGTACAACACTGTGTGTGACTGCAGGCTTCACAAATTATAACGGATAACACATTTGGTGCTGATGTTCAGCATTCTTTTGCTTTGAGGCTCTCTTATACCCTTGAGGTGCTGTCCCGTTTATTTAGATTGTTAGCTTTTTGGGACAGAGGCCTTGTCCTCTTACTTGGCTGCAAAACACTAGGCAATAAAATGATATAAGTAAATCATAATGTGTGTGCAAAACTTCCATTAATGGTAAATAAGCTTAGTCAGAGTTGAACGGAAAGGTTTTTTATCTGCCAAGAACTGAGTTGAGTTCACGCTCTACAATGTTTTAAAGTGACAGTGATACACAGTAATCAATTGCTGGAGGAGAAAGGCACAACACTAAACTTAGGTCTTGGCAGGTGAGTAAGAGAGGAAATTCTTTTAAAACTATTTTATTTGCACATACATTGACCTGATTTGTGCACAGATATGGGGGCTCGAGGGCACAATGAACTTATGGGTATTTTTCTAAGGCGACTACCTTGGAAATTCAGCCCTTTAAATCCAGATGTATTAGATGTACATTACATTCTGTTAACGGGGTAGGCACTGAAAGAGCCATATTTACGCTTTCAGATTTTAGTTGACTGTTAACTGATGTTGGTTTTGCAAGTGCATCAAAGGGAGAAGTGAACCCTTCATTGAGTTAGGCATCGCTTGGTTTTTCTCCCATGCTGCTATGTCCATTATTGCTACTATGGATTAACTGTGACTTTGATCGCAAAACTCTTGCCTGGAACCAACTACGGCCAAGTTAGCCGCTTTCATGCCATAGGAGATGCACATGCAGAATGGTTTTCTCTAAGGGAAGTATGTAGGTTACCCACTGATGATACACAGGTATGTCCGAGGATGCCATTAATGTGTTAGTTAAACACTAAGTGACCTTTCCCCAGAGCTTCAGCACAGGGTTCGCAGCTGAGACAGAAGTCCTGTTCAGTGCAGCAACACTAACTACTTTATTAAGCAACCTCTGCCTTGTTGGGTACCTGTCCAAACCACATATTTGTGACCATGACAGTTATTCTTCCTTAAAAAACAAGTGCTGCTCCAAACTTTGCATACCACTGCTGTGTATCAGAGGGAATTTAGACTTCTCTCTTGCATCTGAGCCTGCTGACCCCACTGGACTACACTGATGCAGCCAGCCAGCCACATATATGCAGTGCATTGTTTATATTCAATATCAACACAGGCCTGGACTATAAGATTTTCTCATACTAGAGAAAACAAGATTACTGTTCAGTGTACTGAAATCCAATTGCTTGCTAATGCTAATCTCATATTTTAAAGAAGGCTTGAGGAATGGGAGCCATCATTCTTGGTTTGAATCCAGCTGCAGATTCCATGGCACAATGCTGAAGAGTCACTCATCTGGAGACAAGTTTAACTTTTCACATTTACTGAATCTTAACAGTAGACCAAAAGCTAGGGAATAAATCACATCTATTCAGTTTTTAGGAAACTTGTGAAAGGTGGCAGATCAACAGTGGTAACCAAATCCCTCCAGTTATCCAAACAATAGCTAAGGTCCAACCAGTGGCAGCGAACGCTTCCCCATGCGGATACCATGCTTTTGCAACTTTGTAGGTGGAAGAAAGGGAATCCTTAGTGGGAGCTCCATTTTCTCAGGTAGTCTAGCAAAACTAGAACATGTTAACCTCCAGAGACAGCAAGGCAAGGCCCAGCTTGTCAGCTGGGCCAGCGGTGAAACTCAGGCACTCTCTCCTTGATGTTTATAACATGTGTGATGTATCCGTATGTCACAGTGATGGGCTCATTATTAAGATGAAATTCACTCCTTTTGCAGAGGGCCAGCAAAAGGTCACATAAGTCCCACTTAATCTCTAAATGGAGGCCTTGTACTGGTCCCCTCTACAGGGCTGAATTTCACCCTAAGAAAATCATTAAAATAATACATGTTTTGCACTATGAAAGCTTTTGGCATTTGGGGGCAAGGATGATATAATTCAACCCAAGATTTTTACATAGATGTTCTAATACAAGTCACATGAATCAAAGTTCTCAAAAACTAGGACTTACTCTGCTGTGCTGAGTATCTGAGCTCCATAAATATGGACAGGCTCCTGCACAAAAATTAGCATGATACCCTTTAGGTTCATGAATCCATTTCCAGCCAAGATCCCTCTTGAAGTCAATATAAAGTTGACGCAGGCAACAATTATCCTGCACATTTCTGGAAATAAAAATACAGACAAATGCATTGGTCAGAACCACAATGTGTGTGTATGTGTGTGTGTGTGTGGGGGGGTGAATCCATTTAATTGCTTTCTGCATAATGCTTTACAGGTGAGCTCAACCCTGACTCTCATACTAATTCACACTGTAAGATTCCATACAGTGCCCAAGCAATGATTTCAATTCCAACTACTAAGGACCAAATCTCCGGTCTCACTGAAGTTAGACCCATAGATGCCTCACTCCTGATGTTAAGATACAGTTTGACAGGTTATCCCATGTACAGGGGAAGCACTAATCAGTCACTAGTCTACCAATGTTGAAGCAGAGGCATATATTTGAGAAACTAATCTATAGTTGTCTCCTGTGTGGAAACAACAGTGCCTGGGAGACTTAAGATTTTGTGGCTCTGCAATGGGGAAACGTGCAGGGCGACTGACCAACCCCTATGGAATTATGTGACTCAGCTGTAATTCTTTAAACCATGGCATACTGGCAGAAGCTACACTCCTGGGATTCAAGAAGAAAAAGAAACAATTACTTAGAAACCAATAGTAGCTCAGAGTATACTGGAATGCAATGCGTAGCCACAATTATTTTTGCTCACATATACAACTGTTTGTCAGATTTAAGTTAGGAAGGACTGTTTCCCCCAGCTCGTACAGGTACAGACTCTGCCAGGGTGAACTTCCTCTGAGGAGGTCAGCGTCCTCATATGAACTATTTCCCGTGATTACATGACTGGTGTGGTTGGGGACTAGTACTGGTGGATCTTGATTTCCTGTTTTCTAAAGGTCATGAGCACTCTCAAGTCTCATTAACTTCTATGGGAATTGCAGGTGATCATCTCCTGTTAGGTTCAGATCCCATATGAACATGTCGGTTTTACTACAGACTGACCTAACTTGTCTGAGAGTTCTATGTTAACACTCAATAAAAAGAAATTTATCAGATCATGTTAGAAACAACCCAAGTTACACCTTTAGGCATGTAGGAGTAAATATAAGTAAACTGACTTTATACATATACTTACCTAAAACAATAGGCAGCATCTAAAGCACGCTTCTTCCGCCGACTGGGCTGTTGCGACTCAAGTCTGTAGGAGGGTAATAACATTAGCAGAAGATGTGGGGTCTTCCCACTGTATTTTTTCCTACTGGACCTGAAAGCTTTCCCATCACCACTGGAATATATGTAGGAGTCATCAATACCTTCAAAAAATACATTTTGGTGATAAACATTGTGTTGCTTTTTCTTCACAAATTATATAAACCATCTCTTTAAAAAAAATCTGTCTCTTAGAAAACCGGTGGTGAGGACATCAGCTAGGTGTGTCATGGGGGCAGGGAATCACAACCTGAGATCTCTGCATTAAGGTATATATAGCATCATATACCCTCATGTTTGACATATTGGCCTTCCCCCAATTTTAGTCTATCTAAATGGCTTTTTGAAGGCAATTAATAGATCTATCAAAATTAATGATGAAATAGACTGATTGGATCACCTACCCATGTGAGAAAGTCCAGTTTCTAGTCTACTAGTCTACGCTAGTTTTAAATGACCCGCAGTTGCCACTTTGTGTGAGAGACCAATCCAATGGAATCTCACTTTTTTTCAGATTTATAGCTTTTAAGGCCAGAAAGCATCATTAGATCATCTCTTGACATTTCACCTACACTTTTCTTTGCTTAATTTCATTTCATTATTCCTATTTTACCCCATTATGCCATCTGAGCAATTCCTCTTCCTTCTTCATATCTACATCTTTCAAATGCTTGTACACTGTTCTCCAATCTTCCATATTACTAACCAGTACATATTATTTTGTCCTGCTAATCTTTCTTCATAAATCAATCCTTCCAGCCCCTTAATCTGGTACATACATGGCAGTGGGGACTTTAAAATAATTTTACTGGAACTAGAGATCACGGATATTGGGATTAATTAAATTTTTTTGGAAGCCATTGACAATGATCTTAGATCACTACTAGTCTTATTCAGTAGGACAAAGGACTTCAACAGATACAACATTGTAGGTCATGTATACAAATTTGGCACATACTGTATAGTTCTTCCCCAAATGATCTATGCTACAGTTAAGAGTTAATGCATATTGAAATGTTACAGCAGAGATATAACCAAGTGAAAACACCCAGGTGCAACTGGAGCCATTAGCATCCCCCAAAGATTTGGGAGTCCATTTGCAGGTACTCACTAACAGCGGGGCCTGATATGATTTTACATCAGCCGCAAAACAATTACCCTTCCAAAAATGGTATCTTGTGATCGGCCAAACAGTGTCTGGCACCAGGACATTCTTCATGTTACGTGAATGGCTCTTCTGCCCTCCAAATTCAAAATGACATTACTCATTTGTTTGGGGAAATGGAAAGCAAAACACCTGACTACTGCCTTGTCTATACTAGAGAAATTTACCATGTTAAGAACTGCTTAGTCCCTCTTGCACACTTGTAAAATACATCCTGTTCACAGACAAAAGTGCTGCAAACAGTTTGCATGTGCTCTAAACACTGTCTGGATTAGACCTGCCTACACCAGTGCTAATCAATGGTTTAGTCTGCACTATTGTGGCCCTGCACCATTTTAGTGCCAGCGTGGACAGCAATAAAATAGTTCAGACTGAAATATTGTGTAGGCTCAGTTATGTGCACCAGTGCACTGGTGACTTCAAAATCTCCCAGAATCCACTGTTTTGGGAGCTGTGCCTTGAATTGTGAGATAGATACTGATAGGGCATTGAAGCTAAACTGGTTTGGAACAGGCTAGCGTGTATGCACTGAACCATTTGTGCTTATGGCAGTGCAATCTCCTTGATTCAGTTGTGGAACAGTTACATTTTATAGTGTTGACATGGCTTTACCCATGTGTCCTCAATCATCCCATTCACTCCCACCCCCCAACAAAGAGTCACAGCTCTCTAGTTCATCATCCTCAGGCCCCCAAATCAGTTGTATTTTATATTTTAAAGAGACCATATAAAGTTTGTTATTTCTATCTTTTAATCAGCAAACATCACTGCCCTTCGTACACCCCTACCTCCCCCCCCCATTTTTGTTGTTGTTTTGTTACCTGCAAATCTTGCTTCTAGCTCTTCACTTTTATTTGGGATAATATAATTATTTGAAGGCACGAAGGTGCAGCATGGACAATGTAAACTTATCTTAAATCCAAAGTTCCTCTCTGCAAAACATGAAAGTGGGGGGATCATTTTTACATTTGCAGTGACCCTGAAATAATTCAGGTTATGGAGGAGGAGTTGGGGTGGGAAGGCAAGAGAGAAGAGCACTACTCATCACCTTTGTGATGGAGCCATTCGTGTACAGCTTCAGTGACATCAAAAGACAGCCATTCCCCTTCAGCTCTTGTTTTAACTACCTTGCTATCAATGTAGCGCTGTCCTGGTGAAGGTAGTTCTTTGGATTTAACAACCTGAAAGAAACAGTGAACAAGTCAAGACTGTCTGTAGATTACAGTTTTTCAGACTTATCAAAATGGACACTCTGTAAGAGCTTCTAATAACAGAGTGGTATACTAATAAATAATGTTACAGAAATCTACACATACACACGGTAGATAGACATTCAGGCATTTTGACACAAAAATGCATACTAAGCCGTGATGCAGGATAAGGCTCGATCAATGGGAGACTTGCTGTTGACTTCAGAGAGCACAAGATCAGGGATTAAGTCATCTGCATATTGTGGTAAAAGTGACATGAAAGATACTGGCAAATGAAGTCTTTTCCATCTATTATTCTGTTCCAGAACCAGTAGTGCATATGGTCCACCACCAGTTACTCTATATTTCTTTGCAGTCATAGGGACACTGGAGTTGCCAAGTTGCAGTTCATAACTCTCCCTAGTGCAATATATCTTACCTCTAATATACCTGATGCTTCAAAAAGGGGTGAGGAATCCCCATATTTGCACCTAGACTTACAAAGTATTTTCCTGGGTAGACATAGAGTAACCACTTAAGTAATCAGCTTATATCCTGAAACAAAAGCACTGTCTTCCATGTAGTTCTCCAAGGGAAATCTGGAGAAATGACAGCAACAAAATGCTGCCCTGCACTACAATGCTGCAGAAGTGGTGGAGCAATGGGAATAAACTCCAACATTCAAGTTCGTGAGGCTAGTCCAACATTAGCCATAATATATATGTTGGGTAAATTAACACATGCACACCACAGGCTAAAAGAAAGCCTGTTTGTGCTTTGTACATTGATGATACTGTTATATTGTTTAAGAACAGTTCATCTGAACATAAGTATTACCTTGTTAGAGCTACTAATGTCTAATAATACTCTGACTCAGGGTTACTGGCCACATGAATGCTCATTGTATTACAGACAACTGCAAGAAGATGTAGCTTACGCAGTTGTTTGTAGAGGATACAGCAAAATAAAGCAGTGTAAATCCTAGTTGAATATAGCCTTTTATTCTATTTATTTTGTATTGTTTAGGATGCTTTTTTTAACCCAAATTTTCATTCCAACTTAGTTTGTATTTTATGCCAACAGGTTTATCACAACCTAGTACTGAGCACACACTTCATTAGCAAAACCCTATTTCTACCTCTATAAGATACTGCAGCACCTTTCCAGATTCTCAAGTGCAACAAATTCTTCCCCTTATTTCCAAACAACTAAGCAATCACCGCACTGCATGCAATCACAGATTCCTTCCATATCTAGGAAGAAAAACTTGGACTTATGGCGTCTGTGAACTGCCCAGTTCCCCGCCATTACTACACTGATGCTTTTCTTTTTTTTTTTTATTCAGGAAGCTGGAACGTCATGCCATGTTAAGTACATTTTAATCAAGACCTAATGATAACATCAGTTTGCACCCATTGGTATGCCAGTTCATGGATTTTTTCCCCACAGTCTGAATCCATCTCTAAAATGAATGATAGACAGACATGTTCATTTTTCCATCCTGTGTTCTCAACCCAAGTCAGCATTTTGTTGGTACATAATCAGCAAATGAGATGGTAAAATTCACCTGAAAATATCATGGACAACAGGAACGAAAATAGGCCATGTGATTGAAATAGGTTTTTCATCATGAAACAAAGGGAATTAGTCTAGTCTCAGATACTGCCCCAGATGCAGTATTTCTCCACTGACTTCGTTGGAGCCTCTGCATGCCACGGATCAGAGAATTGTATTTGGATCTCTCCTCTCAGAAAGCAGCCCTGGATTTGTCTCTTGACAAGAACAACAGAATGGTAAGTTCTTACTCCAAGGAAGGAGCCTTTCTTCCTCCCACAGACTCCTACTGCAGGACTGGGAGAGAAGGGGTACACAAGATGCTATTGGTCCAATCCTACAAGCTGCTGAGTCCCTCCCAGAAATGGGCACTCCTTCAGTGGGCACTGCGGGCATTCGGCACCTTTCAGAACTGGAGCCAATTTTTTCACAATGCATTCTTCAAACTAAGTGTTCACAAAACTCTACAGCAAGCGAATGAAGGCAGCAAAAAGGTTCCCGTTCCTCACCTGTGCCTGAGGGGGCTGAGGGAATCAGTATTTACAGCTGCGAAAATCCAATGGCAGCACAGATATAACTTTGGGTTCCCTTGGAATTATATTGGGTCACTTCAAGTGTTCCTAAGAAGACAACACAGCGGCCATGCTGCATGGATGGATGGATGGACGCATGCTTCTCAGGAGAGAGCTGAAGAGGACCCAGCACTTCTGCTCATCTCCGCCCTTCTGTGCAGTCACACCTCACAGCAGGTTTGACTCTTCATATCATGATATGTCTCTAAAGTGCAAAACGTGCAAAAAGCCATTTGCTAATGCAAGTAGATTTGATATGGTTGGCCTGAGACAAGTTAAGAATCTTCAGGTGGGCCCTGAGAGAGTAGAGGGGACTGGCCAAGGGAGGGAACCAGTCCCCAAAGAGCATGTCTTCCTACCCCCTTTCTTCCCCTCTCCCCCATGACAGCCTGCTGGCAAGTGGAACACTATCTGTATTCACCAGGCATGAGAGACAGAGCATATTTCACTCACCCTGCACATACGGTAGTGCATTGAAAGCCAGTCTTGCTATCAGAACTGAAAGTATTATGAGAAATGTGTAGAAACAGTAGAATGGGAATAATTCAGTGTGAAGGTTACGTGACCATCATTACATTATTGGATCGGGAGACTTATCTCCTCCTTCCATTCACAGCATCTGCAGGAAGAGCAGAAAGCTATGGCACCTCAGGCCGGGTTATTAATTCGCAAGCTAAGCAGTGCTCAGCTAACCTATGTTATCAGTATCGCTAGTTAAGCAGTCAGACTTGAGCAGTACTTGGATGGGAGGCCTCCAAGCACTATGGGTGCTGCTTTAAGTGATATTGGTGAATCAGCAGGAGTGTTTCTGTCTTCCCTCTAGGTTGAATCAGCACCCCCATATGGTGTTAGGAAGATACATAAAATCAGTGCCCTGACTGCTGCTGATCAAGAAAGACCCCATGACATTTTTTCCCCAAGGGGTAAGGGCACACTAGCCCCACTGTGCCAGCCAAATACCAGTATGGATCGTTACAATCTACTGACCAAAATTCCTCCTGCACTTTCAGTCAGATAAAGTATTCTTCACTTCCTTTCCTACACTGCAGCATAGTATTGTTGTACACTGTGAAGCAGCCACCCAGTAGGAGACAAAGTGACTCCTCTTTCTAGATAGTGCTTGGGAATCCTTACAGGAAAAAGGTGTTCTATAAATGAACAGAGATTATAACACTCCACATCCTCTCTCCTATCTTACCCTGTTGTCCTTCTCTCATACTTTTTGCTGTGCACTTTATTTCTGGTCATACCCCACAATGGCAACAACCTTTCCACTTCCCATACACTAGGACCTGCCATCTCTATCACATACTCTTTAAAGCCCATTCCTTTTGGGAAGCTTTTCTTTCTATGCCGCTCTCCCCTCTGACAATGTTTCAGCACCTTCTCTGACCTGAAATATTGTCTTGTGACTTTCATGTGCATGAGTTAGATCAGGGGTGGGCAAACTTTTGGGCCTGAGGGCCACATCTGGGTGGGGAAATTGCTTGCAGGGCTCGGGAAGGGGGTTGGGGTGCAGGGGCAGAGTGCGGGAGGGGGTGTGGTGTGCAGGAAGGGGCTCAGGGCAAGGGGTTGGGGCAGAGAAGGGCATGAGGGGGCTCACAGAAGGGGGTTAGGGTGCAGGAGGGGTGTGGAGTGCAGGACGGGGCTCAGGTCAGGGGTGCAGGCCAGGTGTGGGGTGCAGGAGGGGGCTCGGGCAGGGGGTTGGGGTGCGGAGGAGTGCGGGATGCGGCAAGGGGCTCAGGGCAAGGAGTTGGGGGGTGGGGGTGCAGGAGGGGTTCAGGCTCTGGCCTGGCACCGCTTACCTAGAGTGGCTCCGGGGCGGCAGCAGCAAGCACCGGGGCCAGGACAGGATCCCTGCCTGCCTGCCTTGGCCCCGCCACTCCGGGAAGCAGCTGGCACCACATCCCTGCGCGGCCCCGGGGGGGTGGGGGGGAGTGCAAAGGGCTCCACGTGTTCCCCTCGCCTGTGGGTACCTCCCCCAAAGCTCCCATTGGCCACGGTAACCCGTTCCTGGCCAATGGGAGCTTTGGGAGACGTACCCACAGGCAAGAGCAGTATGCGGAGCTCTCTGCTGCCCCACCCCCAGGGGCTGCAGGGACGTGGCCTATTCCCAGAGTGGCGCGGCGAGGGGTCCAAAGCCCCGAGGGGCCAGATCTGGCCCACGGGCTGTAGTTTACCCACCCCTGAGTTAGACTATGGAGTCTTTGGGGCAGGGACCCTGCCTGTTTAAATTATCTGCAAAGCACCATGTACTTCCACATACGAATGGAGGATAGAAGAAACTAGTGGAGTAAGAAAGGAAAGACATCAATGACTCTGGAGGTGCGGAGAGGGGCACTGAGGTAAAATCCCCACTGGATAAATCAATCACTTCACATGTCTCTCTAGAATCTCCTCTAATCCCTCCCTTTGACCAGCTACAAAGAGTCTGATCTTCATTTGGATCCCAACCTGGCTTTTTGTGCAATATCACCTGCGTGTGAAGGTGACAGATTCAACCACGTGCAGGCTTAGGGGGCAGAATTTACATGTACCAAACCCCATCGCGCACATGTACCGGCGATATATGCACACAGGGGTCAGCGCCAATGCTCAAAAGCATCCATGCACCGGTCTGTGTACACACGGCTTTAGCGGTGTATGAGCGAAGCCGCCTTTGAAAATCAGGCCCCAGCTAGGCAAAAGGCGAGTGAAAGTTGTGTGAAATACCTGCAGCTTATAAAGGTAAGTGTATGAATGATCTTGTGTGTGTTTAAAGTGCTTTTGTGGTCTAGCTTCCACGTGGGCTCGCACAATCATAATTTTAAAAAGGGTTACTGCACAGTAATACGGCATGCAAGTGCATATGGTCACGTGATGGAA